CCACCTGATTAATAAAGACTTATTTTTGCTGGAAAATAATTAGAAGATGGAAGAACACTCTCAGACTATAACATTCAAAAGGAATCAACACTTCACTTAGTTTTAAGATTGAGAGGTGGTTAATGATATAAACTATTCATATGTTATATTAATTCATGAAACACTAAAATATTTTTAATAGAATTTTTAATTGTAAAAAAATATTTCATTAAATTCTATTATTATTTATAATCATACAATAAACCTGATTCTTCAAAAATTTTATTAATTTTCCAATAACATCTTAAGTTCATAAACAGGGATCCCAAAAATTTGTATCTGTCTAAATCAAATTATTATATAAATTATAATTCTTATCTTAAGAAGATGCTTAGAAAACAAATGAATTACTTGGTTGACTTTCTAACTTGTTAACTATTTGATTATAGATATCAGTTCAGAGACTGTAGAAAGGATAATATAAACACAAGCTCAATCTAAAGGGAAATAAAATTCTTTTCATAAAAATAGAACTTACTTTGTCCAGCTCGAAGTATTTTGCTCTTTCTATTCAACAAAAAGATATATGTAAAGTAACAGTTTAAAAGAATCTCTTGTTAAAAGATTTCCATAGCTTAAAATGAAAAATATGTTTCTTCAATTAAAACGAAAAGCTTACTATAAAAAAATTTTTTTATAATTTATTGAAATGATCATAAAATTTATAAAATCATTCATACTTTTCGTAAACTTAAAAAGCCCTCCCCTAAATCTCCTTGATAAGCTACGTTGATTCTTGCTCGAGAAGGCAAAGAGATAAAATCAATCATAGTTAATCCAGTTACTGATGTTTTTGTATCCTTTAATTTTCCTGATGAATGATGAACTACGTAACTAAATTTAAAAATGATTTGTACCTACTATTGTTCACAGCATTGATTATTGTTTCTCCATTAACCATAATATCAATTTTGGGTTTTTTTTTAGCAAAGAATCCTAGCGTTATTTCATAAATTCCAGGAGCTACTATAATTATATTTGGTTTATCTTTATCCCATAAAAAATTTTCAGTCAATGTATTAATTGCTTATATATTCCATGGAATTAAACTACCAGGACTCAAAAAGTTTCCTTTAAAAAGCCATCTGCCGATTATATTTTAACTACATAATTATTCATTAAGTGTATTTTAATTTTATTAGAATTTAGTGAAATCTTCATAACTAAATTTTTATGATAAAATAGATTAAATTTCGTTAAATGCCTTAGATACATCTTCATGATTTGCTTTTTTGTCAAGGATTTCTTTAAAATCTCTTTTAGATAATTTTCTTTGAACTTCTTTTTAAATTTCTCCAATTTATAAATTATTGGCCTCTTTGTATTCTAAAAATGTAGTAGCATCTTATTTCTTTCCTAAATCTACAGCAATATTTTCTATCAACGACATATGTTAATGAAAATCTTTGAGAGGAACCTTATCATCAGTATGCAATATAAGGGTTTCCATATCAATTTTACCTTATAAATGCTACATAATCTCACTTTAATTAGCCTAATTTGGATTAAGTTATAATTTATACTTTTTTATTAATTAATTAGTAAAATTCATTTCCTTGTAATTCCAAAACTGTGCGTACTTCATCTTTAAACTCTTAAAATCTTTAAGCAATATCTATTTACTAAGTATTTAGTGCGTTCTGTATTTCAATCAAATCAGACTTTGATTCTAATTATAAATAAATCTGATTAATTTTGGTTTCTAATTCTGGTTTTTTAATAAATAATTATTATTAATCATTAATTTCTATTTTTATAGCATCAACCTATTAGACTATTCTTTCTAATTCTTGGAAAAATGCTTTTTTATTTGCATTTAGCAAAGATTTAGTAATAGTTTAATGTTCATTTAATTGCCTCTATTCTTCTTATTAATATTGTTTAAGTTAATCCTTAAATTAGTTTACTGTTTCTGTCAGATTAGAAATTTCTAAACGACGTATTTTTTCATTTAGATTTTCATCAAAATACTTTTTTTAATAAGCTAATTCATTTTTGAGTAAATCTACATCATCTTAAATATTTTTTCTATTGGATTCCATCATTTAATAAGCTTCATTTTGATCCATTTTATTTTCATCAATATGTAACATTTTCTATTCTAAAGCTTTGATTGTGTAATCAAATTATTATTTGAGTTATTCAATTGATATTTAAGTTGAATCATCTCTACTATTTACTATGATTTATGTTTAATGATAGTACATTCTCTTTTTGCTACGAATATTTTCTATTCAAATTAGTTGTGAAGTAGAGAAATGTCCTTCTATATATGTTCTATGTTGAGAGTTATTTAGGTGATTTAGTTTTAAAGGTAAGTTAAGAGAGTGTTTGAACTCATTCAAATTTCAACAGAAAATATATTAAAAAAGTTAATTAATCAATCACTTTTCTTACAATACATGAAAAGGTAAGCTGATTCAATTTTATTGATTTGGTTGAGGGAGAGACGCTCAATTTCATCATCATTAAAGAGATAAAACTTCACAATTCATTAAGATAAACATACATTCTGATTGCGCTTGACTACAGCCACATAATGGCCTTAATCGATAGTTCCTGAATGAACAATCATAGCTTGCAATTCATATTTAGTTTCAATAATCTCTGGTGCACAAAAACTAAATCTATAATTTATTATTATACTTTTTAATATTTAATTCCATGTCAGCAATAACTGGTTCTTTTATTTTTTTCTATTATGGGAAACTTTGGAAGCGCTTTAATTACAAAACTAGAATATTGGGTGCAAATGTAATTTTAACACGTCGTTTGATGCTTTTAAACTTCTAGTTGCAAAAGGAGCAAGTCCATCCTCCTTCAATCATTTCTTCTTTGAAATAGTTACTTAAGCATTCTTATATGGTAAGTTTACGCTACATAAAATTCTTATTCACTAGAGGTAAACTTAAATCATAAAATGGATCCTGATGTTAACTAGTTTTATCGCATTTAGGACATTTAATAAATGAATTAAGTTAACCATGAAATAATTCATCAATGAATGTGATATATTATTTAAATTAGTCTTATGAAGGTGTATTAAGTTAGGGAGAATTATTTTTTAAGATTTCTTCTTTGAATTTATCCAAAATAAAGAGTAATAATTCTGAACTATCATGCATTTCATAGATTGAGAAATGTTTTTGAAGTACCTTAATTAGTTCTTTAGCCACAATACGAGATTTGTAATGTACTTTTGATGCTTTTCTTAACAAAAGCGCATAAGCATAACTAAAGAGCTGACACTCAGACTGATATGAATGTAGAAAATGATAATTTAATTGAGGAATGCCCATCAGACATTATAAAACACTATTCAGATAACAAAAGTAGATTTCATTCTCTAACCCAACTATTTAAAGTTCTTTGATTGGCATGAGTTTAATGTTTCTAATTTTGACTTATTTTTTGTCAAGATCATTCATAGAAGGTGAAGCGAAAACTTTTAAAGATTTGTCTAAGATATTGATTTCACTTTTTCTATCTAAATCATTTATAGTTAGCATAGGTCCACCTTTATAAATATTTACCAACAGATTCCAAACTTAATCGTTTACCAATACATAATCTTTATTTATTTGTAGTTCTACTTTATTTTTAATTTTTTCATATAGAGTTTAGTTTTTAATTTCTCCAGGATGTAATCCTGCATCTTTGATGTAGTTGGTATATACAAAAGCCCAGTTAAATTCAATGAGATGAGTCTTATCAGGAAATTCAATTAATTTAATGACTAAATCGCGTTCTTGTTCTAGGGTTTTATTGTCGTTTAAAATAAACTTATCGTATTCTTACGAACTAAGATTGGTTTTATCATTAGTTCCTTCTATGTTAGTTAGATTAGTGGAATGTTGATCTTAATCATTTGATGTTCTAATTTAATATTTAGTTTATTTTGGTTGAGTTTATGAAGGAGTTTGTGTTTAAATTTGTGCAGGTTTTGGTTTCTTGTTACTTTTACAACATATAAACATAATTAATATTAATTATAAAATAAATCTCTTACTAGAACGAATTGTTTCTTATAATCCGATGAGTGATATTCAAAATTAGTTTTCCCTCAGAAGCAAAGATTTTTTTATTTTATAATTAATCGTACTGTAGAAATTGCAGATGTAATCAGATTTCCCAATTGAATCATTGCTTGATACTCTAGATAACGGCGATAAAATCAATTGCATCATTGGCTTGATTGCCAACTTAGATTAAATCAAATCAAATTAAGTTCATAACACTTATTTGATTAAGAGAATTAAGGAGGTTATTCACGTTTAATTATGTTAGCTTCGTCTTGTTTCATAGATAATCAATGAATTATTATGCAACGAAGAGGTCATCCATAGTCCTAAAAGGCAATAGAGTAAAAATAAGAAGAGCAGAATCATCTTTGATAAACAACTTGATCTTCAGCTTTTAAAGGGGTCCATTGCTAAACTAGAATTATCAATAAAAGAAGGATTCAAGTTACATTAGGAATTGCATACCAAATTTCTATTGATTTAAAATATATGTCTTGTAGATAAGGATGATGACTAATTTGAGCATCTAGATATTACCAGACTTGTTCAAATTTATCAAAGTGAAATGGAATATGTGAATGAGTATTTTAACAGGATAGAAAACAATCCTAATAATTCAAATAGTTAGTCCTTGTCTAAATTGAATCAATCGTATTAAGAAATGCTTCTTGATGACAATATCGTCATCATCACACGATATGTATCATTTTCAAATTAAAAATAGTTTTCAAATTTAAACCGGTTGATTGAAGATCTTGAGAATTTGAAATAAAAACTCGTTCAATTTGAGGAATTCGAATTGTCAACCAATTTTGAAAACTCTAGGAACTCATCCACAAATGAGAGTAAATCTTATCAATATATAAATATAGAGCATTTTCAAAGAAGCAAATCTTAGACCTATGAATTATCTGAACAGCAGAGGACCAATGTCTTGAAAGAAATAACAAATGAAATCAAGGAGAAATCTTCTGAAACATGTATAAATTGTAGTATATTTTGAATTAATTTATTGTATATTATATATGCCCTATTACTCACAATAGATACTTATCATGTGGTACTTTTTTGACAACACCATGTTAAACTCCAAATTATTGAGTTGTGACACCTAAGTCATGCAATAAATAATCGCTGGTTTTAACAAGAGGATCATCACCTAAAGAAATATAGAACACAAAACTCTACCTGCTGGTAATTCTGTTAAATATCTCATTCTTTAGAATTATCTATTATAAGTATAGTCTCCAATACTGTTGTATGTCTTCATTTCTAAGAGTCTTCCACCATTTCCTAAAGATTAATAAAAATCGTACCATTTTCTCCAAAAATGTATCCTTTCACAACTCCATCAACAACAAGCTTAGTAAAAAAGCATCCAGCTAACACACCAATGATGTATGGGGCTGATTTCTTCAAAGTTTTGAATGTGTAGTTCAATTTGACCATATCTAATGATGTGTATGTTTGCAATTGCTATGGAGTCATTGTGCGAGGATTTGGCCATAATTTTGGATCCACAACATTTGGAATCTTGAATTCAGGTAATTTAGACATAAATAAATTAATATCATTTTTTCAATAAACTTTAACTCAGTGGTTGTTTTCTTAATTAAGAACATCCGAATGCCACTTATTTTATAGGCTTCCTTTTAAAATCATTCTCCTATTTTTCTTCATATTTTTCAATAATTTTCTATATTGGATTTGAATTCTGATTCTTTGCAATCTCTTTGATTGATTAGTTTTCCTTCTAAATTTCTTCATATAAATCCTTCATTCTTTCATATTTTTTTTGTAATTATTCATATTTTTTTTATTGTTAATCAAGTTGTTCTTACAATTAAATAATTTCTTTTTGCACATTTTTAAATTGCCCCATTTTAATTACATATAGATCATAAAGCTACTTTGCTTATTCAGCTGGATTTTTTTATCTAATTAACTTTAAGTACATATCTTCATTTGGATTACTTATTGTTTTAGCTAAATTTTTCAAATAATCACATTCTTTTAATTCAATTTCAAGTTTTTCGATCTCTTGTTTTTATTTTTTATTATCTTCTTCAAATTGTGAAATAAAAATTTCAAGAGTCTTTATTTTTTAATTTGAAGACTTTTCTTTTATTTCAAAATCTTTATTCTTCTCAAGAAATCGCTTAAGTTCTGCTTAAATATGTTAAACCTCTGTTTGTATAGATTCATTTTTTTCTTCTACAAATTTATTTCTTTGCTTAAGTCTTAAATTTTCATGCATTAATTCTTCATGTTCTGCTAATAATTTAGCCATATGTTATTTCTAATCAACACTCAAATCATTTAGTAATTAACTCATTTATTCATCAATACCTGTGATTTCTTCAACTGCATAATGTAATGATTATATTTCAGTTGATCTCATACGACAATTTGGACATTTTCTTGAATTTTAATGGCAATTTACACCACAATTGTAGTGAAACACATGACCACATACTGTAAAAACACAAAGATCTTTTATCATCGGTTCTAAACAAATTGTACATATCGGAATTTCAAATATTTTTCTACCTTTAGCCTTTAAGGCGCTCATATTGATTTATTCAAATAAATTAAAAACTAGAATAATAATATAATTATCAATTATTGTAATAGTTAATCAATCTATTAAATTGTAATTTCATTGAATAATAGATACAAGAAAGGAAAGAGTTTAAAATTATTATTAAATAAAGATTTATATATTCATTTATGAACACTAGATCTAGATTATTAATATTATTTGTAACTTTCAATAGCTTAATTTATATTATGCTGAGGAAAGTAATCACTAAATTGATTACTCTTCTCAAAAGACTGATAAAATTCTATATTAGGCATTTCTAATGGGTTTCGCATAAATTGTTTAGCTGTTTCTCCTGTAAATTTTGATGATTGAATACCATATCTAGATGGCTGCACCTCCTATTGTTATTAAATTTGATATTCTCCTTTTTCAGATTCAGAAATACAAGAATTAGACTTCCTGTCTGAACGAACAGTTTATGTTTATTATTATTATTATGGTTGAGTTGTATGATATTTTTAGTATTTGGAAAGTGTATTTTAACTTTAATTATCAATTTGATTATGTATTCTCTTCTAATGATAATATACACTATCCTAAAATTTAGCCATTTTCAATTGAATACTAATTAATTCATCTTTTTCTTATTTTTAAATAATATTATTAGGAGTATTCTTACTTCCATTGCTGCTGTAAGGTAAAGAAAACACATTTCCACTTGAATTTTTATCTGAAGATCCATTAAAATTCTTACGATTAACTGATACATCTTTTAATAATTAACCATAAGAACTATGAGAAATTCCACTGGGTGGCTATTGAACATATTATACTGGACTTATATTTGGGATATCCATTAATTGATGTTATTATTATTATTGTTATTATTACTATTATAAAGAATGTAAAGACTCACGCATAGAGTATAATGATCCTCTTCTAGGAGTCTACTAAGATTACTGAAGAGAATTCTATCTGTCTGTTAAATGATGGCTTACTTCTACCATTTAAGGTTGTTGTATACTAATCACTTCATCTTAGTATTTTTTGTGATCATCTGTATTATCTGACTCAATATTTAATTGTTAAAATAAAAGAGCTGCTTCTTCAATTTTCATAATACTAGACTTTATTCGCCTTTATTTTTGTCTCATTTTACTTCGAAAGTAATTTCTACGAATTTATTAATCATTTGATTAGATATATTAAACTAAAACTGATTGTTTTGGAACATAATGTACATGATCACATTCATCAATATCATGAAACTTACCACATAAATAACAACATATGGAACATAAACTATAAAATTTATAAAGAACAATCTAATCAACCATCATTTTATATTTTTATCTCTCTTCGTAATTAAATTTAATACACTCCTAAAATCTCTCTATATCTAACTAAGCTATTTAGGAATACCCTATAGATGTTGCATTAACATTTGAATATGTATTTCTGAAAAAGGCTTGACTGTTAAAAATTGAATCTTTTCCTATTATTTTAATTTTAAAGTCAGGAATAGAACTTCCTTCCTTTCTTTATGTTATTTACACTTCTCCTGACAATATTATGAATAGCTATTAATTTGAAGTTTACTGCATCAGCACAATCTAATTTGGAATGTAAGTATACTCTTCAATTAAACTACAAATCTATCTCATTGTGCTTTATGAAAAAGAAGATTTAAATATAGGTATTTTTTAAAGCAAATGAGAATAACGTTAAAATTTGACATCATCTACATATGACTATGGTAATTGAGATAGAAAATTCATGTCCACAGACTATTATGATTTCAATTTATTTATATAAGCCCTTATCATTTACTTAGTTTCATACGATAATGATAGTTTATTTATTTGAAAATTATCTTTTAATGTCAATCTATAAATAAAAAAACAGTAATATATTAGGATAAACATTCTTATAACATAAGTTATTAAATTACTATCAGAGGATTTGTAAAATAACACAATAAATTCATCATAAAAGTTGAATTACTTATCATGATTAAATTGGAGTATAGTCAATGCAATAAATTAGACGAAATGGAATTCAATAATATAATATATATATTAGATTATTGCTCCATAGAATATCTCTAAATCTTTTAGTAACTATCTTAATTTTCTTAGTCTTATGATATGCAAAAGCTATAAAATATGCAACTACTCTGTTGATAATGCCAGAATCACAGGAATTAAGACAATTAGATCCAAAATTAATTATTTCTTCAAGTAAATTTGGATTAAACTCTCAACATTTTAAATTATTTGGCCATTTTGTTACTATTGAAATAAAACTTGATTGAGTGTTGATATTATTTAAAAGACTATTAATAAAATCTAATAAATTTGTTGTTCTTAAAAGCTATGTTATAAATTAATCAATATTTAAGTTATAAAGAAACATAAATACATGCAATATATAACATTACTAAAATGATAATATAGATTTTATTTCTTTGGGTTGAGACACGTTGTGGTATAATTAATCTAATCAATTTCAGCAGCTTTATCACATAAAACATTTAGTTAAAATGAAGGATGAGTATTCACAGTTCTTAGTGACATAAGTCTACTCCATTACACATCACTATAGGAATGTTAAGGTTTTTCATCTATTACTATACTTTATTAACTTATTTCCTTTTCTGTATTTTTATGGGTTCTCTTACAACGATCACTGATTTACATAGACTATTCTTTGTTGCTAGGTTCCTCATTAATCAAAAGCAGATCTTTGATCTCACTTTAAAGAGGTCTATCTGATGCAATCTATGGTGTCACACTTGTAGTAGGAGGTGATTTGAGTAATTCTTAGGCACCATCTGATGGCTTTCTCACTTACAATTAATGTTAATTCACGACTGTCATCTTTTAAACTATTGGTTGAATTTATGTATAGATTGAATCATCCATTGAAATAGACATAGATCTTGATGAAGAACCTTATTATCCATTAACATGTGGCTATACTAGCATTTTATTAGATTATTTTAAATACTACTCTATACAAATATCATTTAATTATAGGTTATTGTAAATAAATTGTCTTTTTTTATAATCATTAATTAATATTATAATTCAGATGCACCATTCAACCCATTCAAAAGTTTTACTTTAAAAAATAATCTTTTATTAATCATTTCATTTTTATTTAATTTCATATTATTTTTATCTATTATATTTATAAAAAAAGCTCTAACTGCTTTATATTTTTAAAGTATTTATTATTAAAAAAAATATAAATCTATTTTAATCTAAAACTTGATTTTTAAAACAATGATTTTAATAACTATTCTTGCTAGATTTTTACAGATTAAATGATTATATTTATATTATTTTCAACATGAAATAGAAGATTAACTCTCAATCTTAAAACTAACTGAATTGGGAATACATTTTTATTAAATATTATATTCTAAAAATTCCTATCACATTTTCTAGAATTCTTTAATTGTCTTAGATTTTAGCTTTAACAGCTTCAATAGTATCAAATGGTTCAACATCAAGTATAATTTGTTCTCTCTATGTTTGATGAAAATTTACATAAATCAATTTTTATTTTTTATTAATTCTATATTTTATATTCTTAGAGTGTCCTCCTTTTGTTTTCAGATTCTATTTTTATTTTTATTAAGTCCACTAAATTAGTTCCTTTGAAAATAATAGTAATGAATTGCTTTATTAGTATCAAACTAATATATAAAAATAATTAAGATATCAAAAATTAGAGATATTAACTTTAATTTCCTTTAATTGATGTTTCCGACTTCAAAATAATTCTAAATTTTATTTTAATTGTCACTCTATTTCTTTTATAATTCTATTATATTGAATCTATTTTATCTTTTCATAATTTTAATAAGTAATGGAAATCTTTTTTTGGTAAAATATAATTTATTACTAATAAGTAATCAAAATAGAAAAAAGCAAATATCTCAAATTAATCATTCATTAAATGCTAAAGTAAGTAAGTAAAAGGTATAAATAGCTTAGAATTTTGGTTAATATTTATATAATTTTATCTTTTATAAGAAATTATATTGTTTATTTATGTATAAAAATATGAGTTTTTCTAATTTAAATGTAAAATTATACATTATTTAAATAGTAAGAGATGATTTATCTAAATTCTTTAGAGTTAAGTGAGGAAACTATGGTAGTTTACAAATTTAAATTATAGTTGATGCCTTTTTTTCATTCAATTATTTTATTAAATTTTGATATAAAAATGAAAATTAGATGAGAATCTTTTTCTTTTTTTTTAAATTGAAATTGATGATAACAGAAATTAAAGTATTTGATAATTTATAAATCAATTGAAATATAGAGAATTTGACAAATAAATATTGAAAATACAATTTTCATATAGTTTAATAAATGGATTAGATTTTATAATTAAATTATTTAAAATATGTTTGCAAAATTATTATCTTTGAATTAAAGTACATCATCATCAATAGAAATATAGAAACCTAAATTTACTATTGGAAGAGATTAGAAGAATGATAAAGTGTTTTCAGATATAAAGGTAAGTTCTAATCATTTGGCAATAGAATATAAGGATTCCTAATTTACTCTGACAGATTATTCAAGTAATGGAACATATATTAATGAAAAAAAAATTGGAAAAGGAAACACAGTGTCGATTATTAATGGAGATCTGATTTATTTATTACCAAATTAAAAAGTAAAAGACCATGAAGTAATTGGTTTTGAATTTGTTGTGTGTATTAATAATGAATAATAAACTTCTAAATCAATAGTAGAGTCAATAGACCAATAAAATTCTGATGGAAAAAAAGAAGTAAAAAATGAAAAATTATTGGACACAAAATCAGTTGAAAAAGAAATTGAATCTTAAGTAATTAATGAACCACCTAAGAAAAAAGAATAATAATCATTTCCTATTACTAAAATAGATGGATTAGAAGATGAATTGTAATGTACAATATGCAATGATTATTTATATGAAGCTGTTGCAGCAAATCCTTGTAATCATCATTTTTGTGGAGCTTGTTTATCTAATTGGTTTAAAAAATAAACATTTGAATGTCCAATTTGTAGATAAAAACTAACTGGAGTAATGATGGCAAGAACCATTAATAATTTAGTTGAAAAATGGTTAAAGATTAATCCTCATGAAAAAAGAACTCAATAACTCTTAAATAAAATGAAGGAAGAAAATCTCATTTATAAAAATCCATAGGAATATATTAATTTGAATGTTAAATTCACAAAGAATAAATTAGAAAAATAAAATTTTGCTAATCATAATTCTCAAGAAGATTAAGAAGAAAATAGTAATTAAGATGAATACAGTGATAAAGAAAGTTCTAATGATGATGAATATCTAAGCAATGATGATAATTTTGATGATAATCAACAAAATTAATAAGTTATTATTTAATAATAATAAATTCCTTAATAATTTTAAGCTTTGAATAATGGTTTGTTTGGTTTTAATAATTTCAATCATCATTATGCTTAAAATAATTTTTATTAACCTTTTGGTTAAAATTAATTTTAATAATAAATACAATAATAATTTATTTAACTAGGAAAATACTGTAAAAGTTGTAATGGACATACATGGAAGAATTTTCAATGTCCATAAAACTAACCTCATGTGGGTTGTGGATCTTGTACAAGATTAATGCCAAAATTAGAACCTAGTAATATTTATTAATAATTAATCTAGGTGAGGATGACAATTAAATCTTACAAATTTAATGTTGTATATGTAAAGCATACCATTGTACTTTTTATTATGGTGATTGCATCAATACTGCACTTTAAAAGTTTATGCTTGTTAAAAATATATAGCATTAAATGGTAGTTCCATATAATTATATTAACAATATTGAATATGGTAGATTGATATAACATCTCTAAAGAAGACCTTAAACAATAATCTTTAATTTTATGATGGATAACTACATCAGTAAAGGTTATTTTTATTTCCAATAAAACAAATATACATTCCCTAATCCAATTTAAGAAATCAATGTTAAAATAACTCCAAATTCTGTAATTATATTATTTCATTATTTTATAGCCTGTATGTTGGCTTTGTCATAGAAAACTAATAAATTTTATTATATTTAGATATGTCTAATGTATGAAATATGATGAACCTCTTTTTATGAAAGAGGATTGTGAATATGGAATTAATTGTAGATTATAATAGTAAAACATACATCATGCCTAATAATATAATCATTGTTGTGAATAAACAATATTTGACTGAAAGATATACTTATACATTATTTCTGAGATTTTTCTATATTTTATTATTTTTATTTATTTTAGTATGAATAAACTTAAACTTACGATGTTAACAAGGAGAACATAAGAATTTGAAATTTTAAATGGATTTATAAATATTCTTTATATAAGGCAGAGAGATTTCACAAAAAAGAACTAAATTTATTATATTATAAATAAAAATAAATTTAGATCTTTTTTTAATTATTAATGAATAGAGAGAGAAAATAAGAAAATTTTCTAGTGAAAATTCAAATGAAAAGATTTTTAATAAAACATAAATGATCTCTATAATTAATTTTATTGAAATGATGTTATAAATTGAAAGTGTTGTCAAGTAATTAGAAAATTTTGTTTATAGGATGTAAAATCTACTAATGAAAATTATTGCATTAATAATAATTGAGAATAAATATAAAAATAATTAGTTCAGTAATGAAAAAAAGAGTTATCATCAAATAATTTAAGAAGTTTTAAACTGTATATTTAAGTCTTTTTAAAAACTAATTGTAAATGTTTTAATTGTGAGACATCAAATAAGAATAATATATATACAATAGTTATAATTATGAAATCATGATAGTTTTCTTTAAGTATCAAGAATTTTCTATACTGATACAATAGCATCTTATCTAAAGTAGAGATCAACATCAATGAGTTTCTCTGGCAGACTATCTTCTTCTTCATAACTTTAAACATCTTAATCCAAACGAAAGGATTGAATTCTTTTTCGTTAAGCTAATTTTTAATTGACATTTGGAGAATTAAACAGAGATGACATTTTTATACTTTTTTTCTGGGTTGTATTGGTTGAGCTTATACGTTATTAAGTTTCGAAAATAGGTTGAGGATCATAATCAGAATTGAAAATACTTTCTAAACTATCAAAATAGTCTGACTCAAATTATCTAACTTTCATTTTATTTCTGTATTTGTTAACTTAAATCTATATAGATCTGACTTATTGAGTAGTAGGCTCTATTCTAAGTGAGACTAAAATTAAGACTCTTGTATTTTATTAATCATTATAACTAATATTGATCAAATTATTTGGAAATATCAAAAAAGAATAGAATAAGGGTAATAAAAGGTTTTTGTATTCAATCTTAATATTTTAACAAATCAAACTTTGATATAATATTATTATCTTAGACAAGATCTTAAATCCTTTAATTTTATATAATAAAGGATCACTATTAACATTCGAGATTTAAGTAGGATAGTAAGAGAGATAAGAGAATAATAATTAATAAATTAGAATTGTATTAAAAATTCAATTGAATAATGGAATAAAGATAATTTACTATATGTTAAGACACTTAGAATTAAGAGAAATATATTTGTCTCAATAAAGAATGCTATTCATCAAAGAAGAAATAATTGCATTGTCATGAATGTTTGGTGAAATTACATAAGACAGATAAAAATAGTATTAAACATTATGAGGAATTTGTTACTTTAGATTCTATAGTAAATGATTTGATTAGAAGGAATAATAAGAAATTAGAATTATATAATCAAATGATTATTGATGCACATCAATTTAAAAAAGACAAATTCAAAGAATTGTGTACACAAAGTAAAAGTTGATAAAATTAAATTAGAATCATTTTCTAGTAAGAGTTCAGAGTTTCAAAACTAAATATTTAAGAAGATTGAATTATTTGTTGAAGAAATACCAAAATAATTGAATGCATAAGTTTCATTGATAAGACAAGGATTGTATTTTTAAAAGGAAAAGCTACAATTTCAAATTGAGCAATACTTATCAACAGATATAAAATTTGAAAATAGCTTGAAATTAATATTAGAAGAGATAAAAAAGAATATTGAAACATATATAGCTTCAATTGAATTACAAGATTGTTAAATAATTAAGTAAAATGTGTTAGTGAATACAGGAAGAAAACCATCCAATAATTGTAGAAAAAAATAGCTGATTTAGAAGGAGTAAAGACAATGCCTCAAACAGATTGTGTGCCAAAAACAACAACATTAATTATAATCATTCCATTGATGTATTTAATATATACAGTTATTGAACTTGATAAATAAGTTTTAAAGTAAGAATAGTATTTAAATATAGACTTTAAATGAAATTAGACTAACAATTATTAAATATCTTTGAGTCATAAAAATTATTGGTATCTGAAATTGAATAATTATAGAAATAATAATAAAATTAAATTGATATATTGATTAAATAATCAAATGAAATTCTTGAAAATAATAATATTATGAAGGATATTTTAATAAATAATGATTCCAAACTAACTTTAAAAGTGCTCTAAATATCTAAGAAAACAGATGAAGAATTTAATAAAACTAATAATATTTTAAAAGAGTTAAGTTTAAAGAAATCAATAATATAAAATTTAGAAGTTAAAACAATTTAAAGTATTATATAATTTAGTGAGAATTCAGAAATTCTGACAACCGATTATATTATTAATAAATTAATAAATGGATAGTAATTGAATTTTACTAAAGCAGAATTAATATATAAGAGTTAAAGAGATGGACTGTCAATAGAAGCCTTTTGGTAGAATATGCATAAATATGGATCTACGTTACTAATAGCTAAATTTCATAACTCAGAAATAGTTGGAGCATATACTTAACCATCTTATGTTCCATCACTTTTTGGTGATTATATGGTAGATAGTACAAATAAATCATTCTTATTTTCATATAAGAAGAATTAAATTTATAAAGTTAAAGAAAATAGATATACTTTATATTCTAAATATATGACAGGACCATAATTTGGTTAAGGTCCAGATCTTAATTTATAGGGATATTAATTTGATCAATGTTCAAGTAATATTGGATATACATATGAATATGTTAAAGAAAAAGGGGATTCTATTATTGATGGTACTTCAAAGATAATAGAAATGGAAGTATTTTTATTGAGTTGATTCAAATTCATTTTGTTTATTCATATATGTCTAAATTATATTAAGTATGATATTATTAATTTACACACTTATTAATATCATTTCTTTGATCCTAACTAAATTAATGCAACACATAATTCTGTTATTTCTTCTTTATGTTATGATGAATCATATTACGGCACTTTTAAACAATTAAAAGGATAGTATACTCTAGAAAAATTAGAAAAATTCTGTTTCGAAGGTATTCTTGAATTTATGCCAAATCTACAATTATTTTCAATTGTACAACCACTTTCAATTATACCTAATTTATCAAAACAGATGTACATCTCATCTCAAATACATTACAATCTCCAATATTTGTATTTTCAACCTTACAACCAATCTCAAATACATTATAAGAACCTATAATCATTCTCTTAAAATGATTATTTCTAATTAAACATCCCTCTTCAATTATTGTATAATCTCCTATTATTATTTCACCAATCTCTGATATTATTTAAACTCCTAATGCAATGCAGCATCCCTTACCAACTTTTACATTATCTTTATTGATTTAACTTAATATAAGAGACATTTTTATTATAATTTTAATTTATGAATTACATTTTAGTTGAATAAGATGAAAGACTTTAACTATTGATAAGTATTGTTAAGAGAATTAAATCTAATACTGTTGTAGTTTTCTCTGAAAATTAAATTAATGTAATGCTATTTTCACAATTTAGTTTTTGTAAGAGCTATTTATCTTAATGGGAATTAAAACGAATTTTAGAACATAATAGTAACCAGCCAATTAAACTTTGCAAATTTATTATGATCCCCCTTTAACAGAAGTTAAAAATGGTTTAATATTTGTATTGCCTGAAGAGAAGATACCTAATTGTTCTGAAAGCAAATTAGAAAAAAATAAATTAGAATAATTTGCTACTCAACAAGTTATAAAACTAGTTTCCACCAATTACAATCTTAATTGTCTAGCTGATAAGGCATACAAAGATTTTGTCTAAGTATTAAATTATATTAATATATATATAGACATATTAACACAAATTAGATTAGAGTAATTATGATGTTTTAAAACTAAATCCTATGAGATTATGTAAATCTTTTGGATTTGAAATCACTCCTAAATTGAATAGTATTATTATTATTTATAAATATATTATAGATTTTAGATTAAAATCAAGCAAAGAATATCCATAGAAATAGATTAAAACTAATTAAATAAAATCTAAATAAATAAAAAAGAAAAAGAAACTTGTTAATTTAAAATAAAAGTAATATAAAAGTTGATTATTTTCATGTATATTATAGTAATTATTATAAAATAATGTTTGTAATTTGATTATCATTATGGTCCATTACTAATAGATCTTTTAACAGCTGTTATAGGTCTAAATTATTATAATTTAGAAGGACTAGTGAATAAATTTGGTTTTGCAGATTATAATCTACTAGCAGCTGATTATAATCTACTTGCAGCACTAAATAATCGAGATCCTTTAACAAAAGTAGTTGTTGTTGGATATGATTCTACATCTGAAACAAATCTTTAATAAATAGTTTCATTAAATTAACTGATAATTTTAAGTGATTTTTTATGAGTAAAATGATTCTTTGGTAAATATCTTTCTAATTGTAATCCTTTCATAATAGGTAAATCATGATTAGTTTATTTAGCTTAAATCAAGACTTTTCTCAACAAATGATTCTATTTAAAATTTAATTTGATTTGATGATTAAATTATTTGTATGATTCTAATAGTTTATCTTCTTTAGTTTCTTTTTAATCATCTTCAAGATTTTAAGAATTTTTCTTTGCATACTTTAACAATTTAGAAGCAGATAAATAATTATGATATGTTTTTGGTATATCATGTTTAAATTCTGAATAATCAATAGGAATAATAATTTCTTTTTTACATTTCTATTTTCTTTCCTTCCAAAATTATGCCTTAATGTGATAGTTCTAACAAAAGATTTCATACAAACAACTTGAATTTAAAAGAATCTTCAATTGTTGATATCCTATTTTATAATAAGAAATATGTTAAGTAACAACTGCTTTGTGTAATCTAAATTCATTTGTTTCAACTAATTCCATTTCTCCAAAAACACATTTAGTTCCCAATAACTATAATTCAATATCATCTTATATCAATTTGATTTCTCCTTATACTATAAGATAGAATGAATCAGCTATTTATTTTTCTTAATATAGAACTGTGTTATTAGGAGCTGAATCTTATTTAAATTAATCTAATTGATTTTTTAATCTTTGAATGCTTATTTTATTAAATACAGAATATTGTTAAATCAAATGTAATTTTTAAGCTAACAGATTTTCATGATATTCTCTAATAAGTTCATTGTACCCTTCATTACTTAATACAAGAACCCAAGTATCTCTTATAACTGTTCCAATTTCATTAAGCGTATCTGTCTAAACAAATGTTCGTTAACCAATTTAAATTTCTCCACTTAACATAATCTGAAATTAAGAATCACATTAACTATTTGCAGGCAAGAATTTTAGTGATAATTGATGAATGATCTTTTCAACTAATCTCATAGACATTCCTTCAGTTATTTCTTTAAGATATGGTATTTATTATAAGAATTTCTTCAAATACTCTACATCTGAATAGTGTTTATGAGGTCTTTCTAAAAGAGATCGAAAATACTGCTATATGGGTGTTGAAATACATCAAAATTCTATAATATCGAGTAATTCGTGGATTCTAATTTTCGTTTCATTTAACGATCTAATTCCAATGCTCCCAACATCTTTACTTTCTACTTAATGGTTTTCTTCATTATTTTTTTTATTTACAATGAATAATTATGATAAATCAGCAAAATAAAGAATAGCAATTGATATTCTTAAATAATATTATTCAGAATCATCAACCTAATTCAATAGAGAATTAGATTCGATGCAATTGAGATTGGATTAATCAGAAAGAGAAAAATAAGAAGCGATGAAACAATTTCATTTATTAAGTCGAAACTTAAATTACAATAATGAGAGTCTAGATTATCATATAACTTAACAAAATAATAGATTGTTTAAAACTGCTAAATATGCATTAAATGGATATGAAACTTAATCATTAAATTAAGAATCACAATATTTATAAGAATTACCTTATATATCAACAAATGTGGCAAAGCCTAAAAAAGAACCAAGTGTTTAAACAGTTATAATAAAAGGTTCAAAAGTAATGGATGAACAATCTAAAATCTTTTTCTAGGAAGAAAATAATATTCACTCATAGAGTATTATAAATATAATGAATGATCTAAGTTTTCATAGAAGAGTATAAACAACTTAAGATAGGCCTGCTCAAGTTGTAGAAATAGTAAAATCTAAACCTTATAAAACTGAAGGTCAATCAGCTTCTGTTTCATTTACAAAAGAGATCTAAAAAAATGAACCTTTATTATTGGAGTAATAATATGAACGAATTAATCATATTGAATTTAATCAGAAAGAATAAATAAATAAAGATGAAAAGATCGATATCAAAATTGATGATTTATTACAAGAAATTTAAGATTTGGTTGGTAATGGCTCTAAAAATCTAGAATAGACATTAATATCATAAAAATTGAAAAACTAAACAGAGAGAAATAATATATAATTAGTTCTAGATAAAGGAGAGAATTTTAAACCAGTTTCATTATTAAATACTTAAATAATTTTAAAAGAATCTAAATTATTAGATAGTAGAGTAAAAGAAGAAAATTTAAACAATTTAGATAAATTGATATTAGATTTGTGTATTTGATTTTTAATAATAATATTATAAAAATTTTATAAGTAATTAATATTTTTAAATAGCATAAATCTATTATTAAAGAGATATCTTAATAATAAAAACAAAATAATGGCTTAAATTAGCGCAATTTTGGATCATTTAAATAATTCAATAATGTTGAATCAGGTAAATCCATTAATCCAAAGTATCCTTAAAATCATCCAAAATTAGTAGAAGAATTAAAGAAACTTACTAAATCAGATCCATTGGCACTTTGTATAACAGAAGATACAGAGAGTAGCATGTGATAGCAGGATGTGGTAAATTACATGTTAAAATATGTTTAAATAATATAGAGAAAGATTTTGCAAATATTGAAATAATAAAATCTAATCCTATAGTATCTTATAAAGAGATAGTTTCAGGTACATAAAAAATAGCTTGTATGTGTAAATCATCAAATAATCTTAATAGAATTTATGCATAAGCTGAGCAACTTCATGAAGGTCTTCAAAGTACAATAGAAAAAGGAGATGTAGAAGCAAAAGATGAAATCAAAAGAAGAGATAAATTATTATAAGAAAAATATGAATAGGATGAGGATGATGCCCTGAAAATATAGTCCAAATATATTGATGTAAAAAACACAGATCATACCTATTGACTCAACTGATCGTGTATATAATTGTTTAAATACAATAGGAGGAGTAATTATTGAAGATAAGCAAATTGCAGAAACATCATTTTCATTAATCAAATCATATTTACTAGTTGCTGAATCTTTTAGATTTACAGCTCATTTAAGAGGTTTAACTCAAGGATAAGCCTTTCCTTCATGTTTATTTGATCATTGGGCTGTTCTAAATGACCATCCTTTAGAATCTGGTTCAAAAATTAAAGAATTAATTCTCTCAATATTAGAAGGAGAAAAAGTATTAAACTTTAATAACCAGATCTCAACGATTATTTAGATTAATTGTAAAAATTATTAAATATTTACAACTTTATTATTAATTTTATTCAATTCATTCAATTTATTATTCTTATTAAAACACAAATTATTTTTATATCATCATCAAATTAGTAATTTATGTTTAAAAATTAGAATTTTAATCATATAAAAGAATTTCAAACTCTAGAAAATCATCAAATAAAACTATAATATTTATGAATTATAATTTATATTTATCCGCCAAATTCATGTAGTTTAATAAGCCAATAATATATATGAATGATACAAATTAAATAATTTTTATCTTTTTAACAATCATAAAATTTGGATATCTCTGATATACTAACAATTGTATTTCAGAATTAATTTAAAAAAAAAGAATTGAATATCTATCCAAATTAATAAATAAAGTTTTTTTGAAGCAATTTTTTTAAGATTACTAGATTTAAAATAAATCCAGTCTAATACTAATGCAAATAATCTTTCTTTAAAATTTCTCAAAATCATTTAAAAATTAAAAAAGTATGAAAAAATATTTATTTATAATAATATTATTTAATAATACATAAATTATATATTATTATATAGTAATTAATATTTTTAATTATTTTAGTTAATTAAAATTCATATTAGAAATAATTATCTGAATAATTCAAAACTTTACTCATAAATCTTTAAATAATAAGATGCTACTAATCATTTCAATGATTTTCTTATTAAAACCTTCTTGTATATTTAAATAAATTTATCAAGCTTCCTCATTATTTATCAGATAGACTTCATTATAATAATAATATTTTTTAATATTACATATTATATATTCTCAATAAAACTTTTGTATTTCACATATAGAATATTAAAATAAGTAGCATTTCAGATAATAATTAGATTTTAATATTCTAATAGGAATATAATTACCACAATCATATAGAAATTTAAAGAATATTATCTAAAAATTAATTCTATTGACCAAAGTCTTGCTTTTTTTTCAATATAATTAATTGTATAAACCATGAATCTAATAATAATATTAAATTTAATATTCTTTGTTAATTAAAATCATAGATAAAGGAAATTTTATATAAATATTTAAAAAGATTAAATCATTTTTTTGTATTAAACCATACTTTATTGAATCTGAAATATGGTTCTAGTTCAACTTTATTTTCTTCTAAGAAGATATTCCCCCAAAGGATATTTCCATAGAACATTTAAGATATTTATTAAAGTAATTAACTATTCTTTATTGAATTTTCTAAGGTTTGTTTGCAAGCCTTTTCTGGTTTAGTACTTAAAAACTTCTTAATCTCTGGATTCAGTAAGACATTAGTATCAAAGTTTGTGACTAAATTAGATAAAAATAATATACTTATAAAATGTTTCAAGGCTCTAGTGAAATTTTTAGGGATATTTTTACTTTCTCCTGGAAGCATATAAACTCCCTTCTTTTATATTTATTAATCACTTATTTCTTCCTAATTTTTAACTTTCTTTTATTTTATTTTTCCTATTGAATGAGTAATTGGTAAAGCGTCTTCTCTTTTTTAATATTTTAGGTTTTCAAGTTTTTCGGTTTCTTTATTCTCTTCATTCTATTCATTCTATTCCCCAGCTTACTTTTATTCCTTACCAATGTTAGGAGGATTCCAAGCTTCAAACTGATAGGGAATTCCCATAGAATCCTCTTATTCACTCACGTGTGAAATAGAGCAAGAATCAAAAACAAATAAATTGCTTTATTTCTTGAATTCTTATTCATAATCTCCATCATTTTTTGAAAACATTTTTTATTGTTATTTATATTAATAATAAAAAAAGAATTTTTTTTTAGCTTTTATTATTTAAATTACCCAATAAATATAATATTTAGTTCGTCATTTCATTTAATATAATATAAATGAAATAATCAAATTAATAAGAATTTAAAGTAATCATAGATAAATCCTAGAATTTTAACGAAATCTCAATCTCTTGATACTTAGCTTAATAATTATATTATTAATCATTGAAGATCATTCTTTTCTAAATTATTTAGGATACATGTTATTTTAAGAATTGATTACTTTTTAGGCTCAAATTAAATGAGTAATTAAACCATTATTTTAACTATTTCATTTAATTTTGAAACAATCAATTATTAATATATGTTATTGATAAAGGATGATAAGTTTATTATGGAAATATGTTATAGAGGTTTTGATAAATTAAAATAATCTTCTGAGCTTCAAAATCATCAAATCAACATCATATAAATAATCATATAGTGGTTAAACTAGAGAAGGATTTTACCAAAGTTTGAGTTAGTTAGCAAAAATATATAATTCTAAATAATAATATTGGTATATTGATAAATTATTTAAAGAATTTGTGCATCCAGTAATATTATTATGATTTATATTTTTATTATTATAGTTTTCAAGCTTGTTTCATGATTTCATATATATATGCAGAAGTCAGCTTTAAAAATTGTCATGATTCTTAGTTAATATATTTTTGTTTTTAAAATATTAGCTTTCTTCCATATCAATAATTATGGCAGTAAAGTGCATTCCAAAAATTTAATTTAGACATTTTTGTAGAGGAAAAAATTTGAATTTATTAAATAAAAAGGATAATAAGCTTTTGTTTTATTATATTTAGTTAAAAACAATGGTAAGTTGTTTGCAGTAAAAAAGAATATTTTTGAATTAATTAAGTTTCCAAAATGTATTTGAAAATTTAGTGAATGCCAAAAGAATAATGAGAGAGTTTAAATTATAAAGTA